GGTTACGCACACTTCCAAAAGCAAGTCCAAAACGATCTCTGCATGAGCAAGCTGCTGCCTCGGTGCACATGTGTGCGCCCAAAACCTCTATGGCAGGCCAGATAAATGGGCATGGTGGGCTGGATCCGGCCCGCGGGCCTTAGTTTGAGGACCCATGGGCTAGAGCGTCTTTTTCATACTTATGAATGTACACTGAAACGTGCTCTTAAGTGTGGCACACCTTTAAATTTAAAAAGAAGCTCCACTATCTTTTACTATGTCTTGGGGGAGAAATAAAGGCAACATGTTAGAATTATTTCTCAAGCCTATATTAATTATTTTGCTTTTGACATAATGCAAAATGGTATAGAGAGGCTGAATTTAATTCCCATTTGTCCTAAGGCACTGCAATCTGTCAAATGTCATTCAGCCCTACAGGCCTGCTTCCCGCTTTTATGAAAAAGTCATTAACCTGAAGCAAATGTCAACAACAACTGTGTGCTGTTAGTAGTGGGGGAGGGGGGTAAATTTGTTACACAGCAAGAATGTGTAATTAAAAGATACTTGGAGTCAGGATTCTTGTTTTGAAAGATACTTGGAATCAGGATTTTGTGTCCTTCAAAGAAACATCAAAAGTAATCAAAGAGGCTTTGGGGGTTCTGCACAAATCGCCCAGAACGTGGTACTCAATGGGTCAAATCTGCGATCATGTAAGCAGAAAGCTTTTTTCCTTCATTTCCCCACTGTACTCTTCTTACCCCCACTCCCAAATCTAGTTCAGCGGTCCTCCAGCTCTAGAGTATTTTTGGGGTCCAGGCAAGGAGACTGTAGCAGAGATTTGGAATAGATTTGCCAATGGTTTCTTTTCTGTTAGTGGACGGCTAAGTTTGGATACAACCCATTGTCTAACATGTGTAGAGTTTCATCATTTATAATTATTGGTTTGTACATGCAGTGGTCAAAACCAAATTACTTCCTTGGGCTCATGCAATTCCTTGAACATGTAAAGACAATTCCTTGTGAACCAGAAGTGCAGGCTGATACCCAGCATCACAGTGAACAAGTACAAACTTCAAGAACTGCCAAATAATGAGAATCACTGAAATTCCTCAAAGAAACATACGCACTTCCTTTCAGATTTTACCTCAGTTAAAAAAAAAAAACCCACTGGATGTAGATTTAGGAAAGTGCTACTTCAGGCAAATTAGGGAAGGTCAGACTCCTACGTCTCAGAAGGGCTCAACTGACCTAAGCCGCCTTGAATCACCAGTCATCATTCATGTGCCTTTTGTTATCATTCATGGTCCACTACTGTGATTCAACAAAAAAAATCAGTTACAAACATAGGACTGTTGTCACATTGCTGCATGTAGAACTGACCCAAAGGCCTGTCACTGGAGGGGAGATACTGGTCTTTCAAAAGCACCAAGAAATGTCCGTTTATGTACCATAACATGCTTTGTTCTCGACTGATGTGTTATGATGACTGTTCTTAAACATTTTTAAGGGCTCAAGCAGACTTTGGCATTGCACCTTGATCTGCTAGTCTCAATGGTGCCTGAGGCTGCAGTTATTCAGTGTTCAGCATTTGCCCCTGTTTACCTGTAGTTGTTATCTCACAAGGTTCATAACGAAGTTCTGGCATTGGGAACCTATTGTGGGTCTAAGTGTTTGTCCTGATGATAGCATGTTGATGTACGTACTATGATGCTTAACTTAAAGGCACACATCAGAACTTCCCTCATTCCCTCTTCTGTTGATGGCTTCAAATTAACCATCTCAAAAGCTTCCCTGAGTTTTGGAAGCAACACTTTGCACAAGGTGCAGAGCTACAGTAGAAAAGAGGATCCTTAAGCCAAGAAATATAATTTTGAAGTACTCTGTGAGTGTGACTACCACCATTCTGTAGAGAATTAGGTAGTCATTTCAGAGTCTGCATAAACATTTCCTGCAAGCCCATGCCCATCATCCCCATTGTTATCCTGACTGAAATAATGTTTACAATAATTCCCCAGAACAGGTTGCATAAATCCACAGATTTTGTATAGCGATGCATTACTTTTTTGTCAATATTGTCTCCCACTAAAATATGTACTGCCTTCACAGAGTGCATATATAAATCACTGGCAAAGTACTCTTTCTAGGTGTCTTGTTTCCAAGCTAATGAGAGGGAGAAATGTTTTTCCCCAGGAAGGAATGGCAGATACTTGGAGATAGGGTTGTGAGAGATTCTCCATTCTGCCCGAGGCCATACCAGGGCAACGGAGCAGGTTTTATCAATCGCAAGTTTTCCAACAGTTTTCCAGGACTGTTAGTTCACTCTGTAAACCTGGTGGAAATGAGAGAACCAACATACACAGTCTCATCCCCTTCGCTTGCTCTGCGTAACCCTGTCTCATCATCCTACCCTGTGTTCTGTTTTGTGGTCCTGCCAGATTATGACAAGCTTTTGACAGGTCTGGCTTTTAAATACATATACAACACAAGAACTTAATAGAGCCAACGCAATGAAAATAAGGCCGAGAGATTTGCAATTTTTGCCTGCTGTAGTTCTCTAAAATTGTTCATTGTGTTTCTACACAAATATGGGACGTTATCCATATGAACACATCTAAGGCAATCCTCATAGGACACTTCTTCCCTGCTAGCACTGTTGGCAGGTGATAAATACGCACTTGCACTGGCTGTTCTCTGCCAGAAAAGGCCCATATTACTTTTTTCCCATAGTAGAGTTAGGAATCCTGCTTAATCACAGAGCTGCATGCATAAGCTTCTTGTGTTTGGAGCACCTGAGGGCAAGAAAACTGGCACAGAAGGATGGCTCATGCCTCAGTTTTTTTTAGGAATTGCTTTTCTCTCTTCATAAGCCTTTGAAAACTGTGTATAACTTCCTGTTTTTCTGGACATACAGTCAATCCAAAATTTGAAGTCTACCTGTTTGCTCTGATATTTGGAAAGAAGTGCCAGGCAGCCATTTTAGAAATGGCTAAAAATTGTGTATCTTATTAAAATACTTTCAAAGGTTTCAACAACAAAGTGTCTTAAAATAGGAAGGATATTTACAGAGCCAAGAACAATCAGAGGAACTTGATGTTTTTGAAATAATCTGAGGAATAAATCAAGAAATAAGATGTGAAGAACGACACTCTTACTTTGTCTATGTTACTGATTGTTTGTTTATGCAAAATATCATGAAAGGAAAACAGCATTTCTGCATGAATGGACTTCTTTTACGTTTGGATCCTTTCTTTTTGTCCACTTCACACAGCATCCCTAATCAATATCTGTTTTGTCTAGAGGGAACCCTTTTTATTAAAAAGAAATGTGATTATAAATGTGTGTTGGAGCCCATTTTGGACTGCTCTTGTATAAGTATTAACGCAGACCACATGTTAGCAACTTGGCAGGTCCATGAGGGGAACTAGCCCAATTTTTTTGCCCTTCCCTGTAGATATTAATTGTGCACAGGTGCCTCTTGTGAAAGCCTGCAAGACCACTGGTGAGCAAATCATGAAGTCAGACAGGAAGGTCACAATTTCTAGCGTTATGAGAATGCTTCTGTGCAGGGCTTGTTTTGAGAGTTCAGGAATTTGATTGTTCCTCCTTTGTGTTTTCATTTCAACACTTGATCGCCACTCTGAGAAGCTTCCCATTGCCTGGAGAGGGTTGTACCTGATTTCCTGAAATTATTTTAAATAAATATACATAAGTTCATAATGTAGCCCAATTCTTGTGTTCTTGGTAAGTCCTTGGTAAGTCCCGTCAAGTTCCATGAGACTTTGTCCAGGTAAATGTGCATAGGATTGCCACTTAAAGGCTAATGGCGTGTTAGTTAGGTCTGTACCATGCAGATGCTCCAAACGTTGTATTTAGGGTAAGCCCACAAGGCCCTCTTGCCTGGCCACAGACAAGTCCATTTTGCAAGGGGCTGGGCTGTGGTTCATAATGTTTCAGCGGCTGTGACTGTGCTAATTGGGAGCCTTAAAGCTAGCCAGTAGGGAAAGAAAAAGGGCAGGACAGGGTAGTGCAAGAGAAAAGCAGCTAGGGAGGTTGGTCTCTAACCCTGAGCCATGCACCAGCACTATTCCTTGCACAGAGTCACCATGGAAAGACACAAGGGTAGGGAAGATTGAGTAACTATACTAAAATTCAGTCATACTAGCATTTAGTGTCTTGTGCACAACCCAATTCCTGTAGCTTCCTCTTCAGGTTATCTGTTAAACCAAATCACTACACGCTTCTCCAACACCCAAAAGCTACCACTTAGTGAGGGAAAGACCTCCAGAAGAAAGAAGGGGGCTCAAGAATACCTTTTGATAAATTCTTCCTAGCGAGAGAATGGGTGTGGAGAAACTGCTGATTCTGTGGCAAAAAAGAGCAAAGCTTTTGGGAAAGGCTACTGCCAGGCCTCTGCTTCACCTTGGGAAGGAGTGGTGGATTCATTGGGCAGACCTGGATGGTCTGGATCAAGCATGCCCTGCCTTTCAAGGCTTAGAGGAGTTTTAGCATAGGAATGAAAGCTAATGGTTGTAACCAGAGCTAACCTACCTTGCCATGCTATCGGGGTGGGGTTCTCGGGAAGCCATGAAAGACCAATACACCAACTCTGGGTCATATTTTTGGTATTGTACAAGAGAGTCTTTGCACTCACACTAGGATAAACTTTCTTTACCTTAGCACTAGAGTCTGATTGGGTACTGCTCAGAGATTTCTCATGAAATAAAAAATAAATACTATGGCAAAGGGGGAATGAAGGTCTCTCCAGGTCAGTCGCACACACCAGCTGGGACTGTGTTCATCATTTGGGAGGCTTTGCTTGGAGCTTTCTGAAATACACAGTTGAGGTTGCTGGTGATTCCAAAGAAGACAGGAAAAATGCAGTGCATTGAATACTATGTAGATCCTACTCAGTAACATTTTCATAGTTAAGGCACTTCAACTTCTCTTTCCACCAGTTGTTTGAGAATGGTTTGTTTCTGGGGGTTGCCACTAAAATAATCAAATTTGTTTTGTCGCTTCAGAAAATGACGAGGAACAAGAGGCCCTCTTAAGCTTGGACAAACCTGGCTGGTACTCCCAAGGTAACTCAACCCATTTGTATGAGTTGCTGAAGAAGATGACTGGCAAAGTAGAACCAAAGGTATTTGGAAAAAGAAGATAAGGTATAATAGCAGGATCTCATGGAAATGCTCGCTCAGTTCAGAATATTAGGGCAGCCTCCTTATTTTTAGAGAAAGCAGGCTCAATAGTATAAAGCAGTGGAAGGAATTTTATCATCAAACTGGCCCACGAAAAATATAGAAGAGCAACTTCTGTGACACATTTTCTTGCAGATTGTTTTATACAAGATGTCTGCAGCCCAATTCTGTAGAAGTTTACTTTGGAAGAAATCCAGTTGTATTCATTGGAGTTTAGTCAGTGTGCATTTGATTGCTGCTTCAGGGAGCAATTCTGTAACCTCTGCACAACATCTGAGAGACCATAGGATACTCCAGATTCCCAGATCCAATGCTGAAAACAGCTGTCTGGCCACAGAGAGGCAAATCCATAATTCACACTCCTCCCCTTTGCAGGCAGCATAGTAAGCCTGGCCCCAGCTTCCTCCCTGAGGCTGTGAATGCAGTCTGGGAGGGCATTTTGGTGGCTGCAAGAGGTGAAGGAGAGACCCCAACCTGGGGCATCTACAGCCACCTTCTTTCCCCTTGGGCAAAAGGGCTGTTTAGTGAAAAGTCCGGGTGCAAGGACCCAGAGGTAAGGGTCACCCCCGCCACTTCTCCCACCCTGCATAGGATGGCCATAAGCCTCCAAGTTTGGGGCTTAGGGGCCACCAAGGAAGGATTCTATAGTTGTTGGTGGTGTTGTTAGTCGCAGTGTCCTGTCTGACCCATTGCGACCTTCTCCCAGGCCTTCCTATCCTCTGCCATCACCCAGAGTCCACTTAGGCTCACGTCGACTGCTTTAGTGACTCCATCCAGCCACCTCATTCTCTGCCATCCCCTTATTTTTTTGCCTTCTATTGTTCCCAGCATCAGGCTCTTCTCCAGGGAGTCCTTCCTTCTCATTACGTGGCCAAAGCATTTGAATTTCATCTTCAGTATCTGGCCTTCTAAAGAGCAGTCAGGATTGATCACCTCTAGGACTGACCGGTTTGATCGCCTTGCGGTCCAAGGGACTCGCAGGAGTCTTCGCCAGCACCACAATTCAAAGGGCTCAATTCTTCAGCGCTCAGCCTTCCTTATGGTCCAACTTTCACAGCCATACATTGCAACTGGGAAAACCATACCTTGACTATACGCACTTTTGTCAGCAGGGTGATTTCTCTGCTTTTTAGTATGCTGTCTAGATTTGCCATACCTTTCCTCCCAAGGAACAAGCATCTTTTAATTTCCTGGCTGCAGTCCCCATCTGCGGTGATCTTGGAGTCCAGGAAAATAAAATCTGTCACTACCTCCATTTCTTCCCCATCTATTTGCCAGGAAGTGAGAGGACCGGATGCCATGATCTTAGTTTTCTTAATGTTGAGTTTCAAGCCAACTTTTGCGCTCTCCTCCTTCACCTTTTTTTTTTAAATTTAATGTTATTATATTTTTAACTTATTGTTGTAAGCCGCCCCAAGGCTTCGGCGAATGGGGCGGCATAAAAATGTTTTAATAAATAAATAAAATAAGAGGCTCTTTAGTTCCTCTTCACTTTCTGCCATTAGAGTGGTGTCATCTGAATATCTGAGGCTGTTGATATTTCTCCCAGCAATCTTAATTCCAACTTGTGATTTATCTAGCCCCACCTTTCTCATGATGTGCTCTGCATATAAGTTAAATCGGCAGGGCGACAGTATACAGCCTTGCTGAACTCCTTTCTCAATTTTGAACCAATCAGTGGTTCCGTGTCCAGTTCTCACTGTTGCTTCTTGACCCACATATAGGTTTCTCAAGAGACAAATGGTACTCCCATCTCTTTAAGAACTTGCCACAATTCGTTGTGATCCACACAATGAAAGGCTTTAACATAATCAATGAAGCAGAAGTAGATGTTTTTCTGGAACTCACTAGCTTTCTCCATGATCCAGCATATGTTGGCAATTTGATCTCTAGTTCCTCTGCCTCTTCAAAATCCTGCCTGTACTTCTGGTAGTTCTCAGTCCACATACTGCTGGAGCCTAGCTTGTAGGGTGTTGAGCATCACTTTGCTAGCATGTGAAATGAGTGCAATGGTGCGGTAGTTTGAACATTTTTTGGCATTGCCCTTCTTTGGGATGGGAATGTAAACTGACCTTTTCCAATCCTGTGGCCACTGTTGAGTTTTCCAAATTTGCTGGCATATTGAGTGTAGCACTTTCACTGCATCGTCTTTTAAGATTTTGAATAGCTCAGCTGGAATACTGTCACCTCCACTAGCTTTGTTGCTGCTCAGACTTCCTAAGACCCATTTGACTTCACATTCCAGGATGTCTGGCTCGAGGTCAGTGACCACCCCATCGTGGTTATCAGGGATGTTAAGCTCTTTCTTGTATAGTTCCTCTGTGTAATCTTGCCACCTCTTCTTAATCTCTTCTGCCTCTGTTAGGTCCCTGCCATTTTGGTCCTTTATCATGCCCATCTTTGCATGAAATGTTCCCTTCATATCTCCAATTTTCTTGAGGAGATCTCTGGTCCTCCCTATTCTATTGTTTTCTTCTATTTCTTTGCACTGTTCCTTTAAGAAGGCATTCTTATCTCTTCTAGCTATTCTCTGGAATTCTGCATTCAATTGGGTGTATTTTTCTCTTTCTCCCTTGCCTTTCACTTCCCTTCTTTCCTCAGCTATTTGTAAAGCTTCCTCAGACAGCCATTTTGCTTTCTTGCATTTCTTTTTCTTTGGAATGGTTTTAGTTGCTACCTCTTGTACAATGTTGCGAAACTCCGTCCATAGTTCTTCAGGCACTCTGTCTATCAGATCTAATTCCTTAAATCTATTTGTCACCTCTACTGTATATTCATCAGGGATATGATTTAGGTCTTACTTGAGTGGCCTAGTGCTTTCCCCTACTTTCTTCAATTTAAGCCTTAATTTTGCAACAAGAAGCTCATGATCTGAGCCACAGTCAGCTCCTGGTCTAGTTTTTACTGGCTGTATAGAGCTTCTCCATCTTTGGCTGCAGGGCACATAGTCAATCTGATTTCTGTGTTGACCGTCTGGTGATGTCCATGTGTAGAGTCGTCTCTTGGGTTGTTGGAAAAGAGTGTTAGCTATGACCATCGTATTCTCTTGACAAAATTCTACCAGCCTGTGCCCTGCTTCATTTTGTACTCCAAGGCCAAACTTGCCTGTTATTCCGGTTATCTTTTGGCTTCCTACTTTAGCATTCCAATCCCCCATGATGATAAGGACATCATTTTTTGGTGTTAATTCTAGAAGGTGTTGTAGGCCTTCATAGAACCGGTCAACTTCAGCCTCTTCAGCACCAGTGGTTGGGGCACAGACTTGGACTACTTTGATGTTGAATGGTTTGCCTTGGATTCGAACTGAGACCGTTCTGTCATTTTGGAGATTGTATCCCAGTACTGCTTTTCCTACTGTTTTATTGACTATGAAGGCTACTCCATTTCTTCTGATGGATTCTTGCCCGCAGTAGTATACCTGATGGTCATCTGAATCAAATTCACCCATTCCTGTCCATTTTAGTTCACTGATTCCTAAGTTGTCGATGTTCAGTCTTGTCATCTCTTGTTTGACCACATCCAGCTTGCCTTGATTCATAGAGCTCTCCTTCACCACCAGATATATCTGCAACTGAGTGTCCTTTCGGCTTTGACCCAGTCACTTCATTCTTTCTGGCGCTACTAGTACTAGCCCTCTGCTCTTCCCCAGTAGCATATTGGACACCTTCTGACCTGAGGGGCTCATCTTCCGGTGTCATATCTTTTTGCCTTTTGGTACTGTCCATGGGGTTTTCATGGCAAAGATACTGGAGTGGGTTGCCATTTCCTTCTCCAGTGGATCACATTTTGTCAGAGCCCTCTGCTATGACCTGTCCGTTTTGGGTGGCCCTGCACAGCATAGCTCATAGCTTCATTGAGCTACACAAGCCCCTTGTAGGCCCCAGTGATACTGTATTTTATATTTAATAGTTGTTAAATGTAGTGTTTGCTAATAACTATAGATCCCATATACTAAAATTCCCATATACTAAAATTTTCTAGTTTGGAGAAAGCATACTATTTTAAAATAATTTACATAGAGGATTTACCTTTTCCAGAGCTACTGTGGTCTCCAGACCAAGACTGGGGAACCAGCAACCCTTTAGACATTGGCAGACTTCACTTCCCATCAGCCCTAGCCATCTGGCTAGCAGCAAGGAATGATGAGAGCAGTAGTTCATCCGTCTTTGGAAAGCTGCAAGTTTCAGAGACAGGAAGAATATTTTACCATGTAAACTGACCTCCTTTCATAGGCAGTCAGCCTTCATTATACAGTTGGTGCTAATTACCAGTACCTCTGTAAGGAGGACATGGTTGGATATGACAGACACAGCCACAAGGGATGTGCAACACTCATCTTTGGCAACAAGTTTGCTTTTCATTAGAAGTGAGACAATATTGTAAATGACACTTTGATTAAAATGTGGTGGGCCACATAACAGTACATTTCAGAGTACCAACTGACCATCTACAAGGTGAGTTAGTAATTAGAATTTCTTTGTGGCTTGGACTTGAGGGGTATAGACAAAGATAAATCTTTCTTGCTTACATGCATGTAAGTAAAATATTGTGCACATACGCTGTATGAAAAGCCTGCCTGAATATGTAAAAAGGAAAACCCTCAATTAAGCCTCACTTATTTTCATTTGCCTCTTTCTCATTTGCTAAGAATGCCAGTGGAAATTTCCAGACTTTTCTGTCCTGTGTATAAGCTACCCCGTGATAATATTCTTTGGCTTTAGGGTGGGAATGGGGAGTGGGGTCCTATGAAATTAAATAACTTTACACCTCTTTGAAAAAACGACTCCAGGTTGTTGTGATATGCAAACGGCACCATAATAGTCTTCATTGCCTTTTATATGATGGAGTCATATCTGCTGGCCATGCCCCTGCTGCACAACACCCTAATCCTCCATGTGTCCAGGGAATGGGAGGAGGTCCAGAGGAGCTTGCCTGCTCTCCATGCAACCTGGAGACCTGATCTTGCAGGCACTCCATCAAGCCAAGAGCCTGCGCACATGGCAGCATCTCTCCACTTGTGGCCTTCTCCTCTAGCATGCAGAGGGCAGCAGGGCCAGGCCATGGGGACGTCACTGAGCAGGTAGAGCCAGCGATTGTGGCCTGTGCACCTCCTCCTGACACCACTGGGGAAGGCTTGCATGCCCCCAAACAGGTGCAGTTATTTTGCATCCTCAAAGCAACTGTATCGTTGATCCACTTTCAGGTGGCTTACTTTGGTGACAGCATGCACTCGGATATTTTCTCAGCCCACCACTACAATAACTGGGAGACTGTCCTCATCTTAGAGGAGCTTACAGGGGGCTGTGCTATGATGACTGCAGAGATGGAGTCCGAGCCCTTAGAGAAGAAAGGAAAGTATGAGGTAAGGATCCTAATTACCCAGGTTTGATGTAACCCCACCTCTACCTGTACGATGTGGAAGAAGTAACTGCTTTTTGAGCTCACATGCATAATATGCACACCAAAATTAGGAAGAATTTTTAGCTTTCTTTCCCCTTCAAACTTGGAATAACACATCAAAGTCAGAAGACAAATAAAGTGTGCTCAACTGTAATTTCCTTCCTGTGTTCTGCAAAGACAGGAAAGAAGAGAAACACTCCCTTATTATTCTTATTCCAAACAAACACACAAAGAAAGAAATGGTTCTGGTAGTTCAGACAAATGGCCTGATTCAAAATTGCATACATATTTATAGTCTTCAGAAAACTGGCAAGTGCACAGGACACATGCTAGCTGCAAAGTATATGGCTCCCCCCCCCCATGCTTCCAGTGTTGGGGGACACTGGGGAACTGGCACCAGAAATAGCAGTGGTGCTCAGAAACCTTCCTACATTTAAAAGGAGCTGGTATGGTGTCCTGGAGGTTGCCCTCTGATCTGTGATTGGAAGTGCATGGTCATTGCTTAAAGAGCTTTAGTTAGCTCCAGCGTCTTCTGTACTTCTGCAAAAGACTTGTGTTGAATCCTGTTTGCTTCCTGTCTACCACCAGTGACAAGAAGCAAACAGAGGAGAAGTCGATTGAGTTGATCAAAAGATTCTGAGCTGAGAGGGGCTATGGCAGGTCAGAGGTGTTGGCTCATTACGCTCCTTTACACAGCGGAGCAGCCCATAGCTGTTAGATCCCTGCAACGGAATAAACCAATTAGCCAGACTGGTTTGGACAGATTTTCTTCTGGCTCCTATGCAGCGTTATAGGTTATTTTAAAATTCCCCAGTCAGCCTCTTCTGTTTAATCTTAGGAGATTAAAAATGAGGAAAGGACACAAAGGCAGCCTGGGTGAATGTCAGACAGAGTCAACTGGTGTCACACTGAATTATGATGCTCCTGGTACAATTGTATGATTTATCATGTGTGATATACTGTAAGACAAAGTGATGCAGCTCAAGTTTGTGTCTTATAGACCTTGCATCTTATAATAATGTGAAGTCCTGTACTTAGTCTGTACCCTCATCTTGAGTCATCCTGACTCAAGTCTTTCCACTGAAAGTCTACTTCGCTCAGAACTAACTAACTTGGAAATACGTGAAATGAGTAAGCCCATGAAATATGCATGAGAGCTAAATAAGTGCTCTGAGTTCCTCATATGCAGGACCATCTCATGTCTCTTCTGGGGAAAAACTCAGAGTGCTGTGAAGCACTTCCCTTTGCAGCAGAGAGCTGCATGCAAGGATTGGTGGTTGCCAAGTTATTTCCATAACCATTTTACGGGAACATTTCTAATGATGTAAAAACTTTCTGCAAGCTTTCAAATACCACTTAACTCCAATGAGGATCTTCCCCTACTCTAATCTCTCAAATCAAATGGGATATGTATTGGATTGCAAATTGTCCTGCAAGATTGGTGGAAACAAAAATAGATTACCTGCAGGGTAAATGTGGTTTGGGTGTTCTAAGGAACAAATAATTATTATGGTCAGGATTTAAGAATTCCATTTTAGTTCATGTGATTCCACTGGAGCTACAGAATTTGAAACTGGTATACTCGAGTGCATGAAAGAACTCAAGGGCTTCTCACTGAGTTTTGTGTTAGGTGCATTTCTGCAATTCCCATTTCATGTGTGGAAATGTGTGCCAGCTTTGAAGCGCCCATTCATACATAATTCCATGTATATATTAGAGCACAGGCAAAGTTTGCTTTTATATTCATGTTTGTATTTCAGGGACGTCATGCAAAAGCTCTTAATTCTGTTTCTAAGCAATGGGGTTCTTTCTTTGTGAATACTATTTCAAGAAAGGAAGGCATGGAGGAAACCTTGGTAAAAACATGGTCCTGCAAATGTATTAGTGCATACAGCACCATTGCAATCCCGAGTATTGAAGCAATAGCGGGTAAGAATGAAATTTTGAGTCAATTTGTATATGAAAAATTACCAACAGTATTAATTTGCTGTCAATGTGTTAAGCGTTATACAGATCACAGAATTCTAAAGATTTTTTCTGTCTAGAGCTTTACATGACTGGCTTCCCCATGGTTAATTCTAAATAAATCTATTTAGGATTTTACAATAAATCCAAACAGGCAACAGTTAAGGTGGAGGAAGGATAGATTCTTCTTCTGACACTTCAGGCATGTTTGTATGATACACTAAGCCACCCTGCAGATAAGCTGCACAGTGCATGGTTCATCTGCCAGACAATCACGCTCATTCTGGCTTCTTCTGTCCCTCCTTCCCTCTTGGCCTTCCAGCCGGAATCCCAGGGCTCTTCATGGCAAAACCTGTCTTGTCTTCCATGCCTTGCTCCAAATGCTATGGCTTTTAACTCACTGCCATTTTTTTCCAGAACCTCAAAAAATAGTAGTTGCGTTTACAAGAAGTAATTCCCTTTCCAGGCAATTTGTTTTTGTTTGGGCAACTGCGAGCATTATTTAAAAAAAAAAAATCCTTTCTCTGTCTTTTGCAAGTGTGTACTTACGTCTGTCCAGTATGTGTAGTCTTGTCTTGTCAATGTCTGTGTAAGTGTCACCTGCCAAGGGAGCTCCACACTGGAGTAGGTACCAACCATGGAAATTGACAAGGAGAGATTCCATATAGGCTAATTTGCACACAGTTGCTAGGAACCAAGTGCCTGTCAGTTGCAGAGCACTTGTGAAGCGGGGGAAGTGGGTGCATCAAAGGTGATGGTGACTATGACCAGTATGGTCCTAGTCATTCCTTTTGGGTAGTATTTCTATTTGTCAGTAAAGAATTCATCATATTATTTTGCCCTGTGGGTCCTTGTGTTGGACTCTGGACCTGGGAGATAAGGGCTCTGGCTCTCACTTGGCCATGAAGCTCACCGGGTGACTTTGTGCCAGCCACTCCCTCTCGGCCTCATTTGTTCTTATTGTGAGTATAAGTCAGACCTATGTGAGCCACCTTGGATTCCTCACAAGAAAAGGGCAAGCTATGAATGCACTGTAACAGTAATAATACACAGCCAAGAAGGGAAGTCCACAAGTTCCATTCCTTAGTCATATATAGGCAACCATGTCATGACAAAGGGGAAGGGGTGGAGATGAACTGGGGTTAAAAGCATCCTGGCAACACGACTGTTTTCAAATAGAAAGACACCTGTAATGTATAGGTTCCCAACTACTTTTTCATTAATTAAAGTATAGTTTGAAATTGTTAAGCATTATACTGTCAGTACAAAAGAAAAGTGGCTGAATGCAAGAAAGAGAACAACAAAAAGAACACACAAGAATATATACGTGCAATGATTAAAAATTGATTTCCAGTTATATTTTCTCTTGAATTCTGATCTGTCCTAAAGTTATTTGTACTTCAGTTATTTCCACACTGACTAGATAAATGCAAGTTCCAATTCTGAGAAAGAATATGCTTTTCTTAGTGTCCTAAGCAACATTCCCTTGCTTAGGGAACTGACCTGGGTGACTGGATTTAATCATAGGTGGATTCCAAGGCCTAGTACGAGAGGAATGTGTTGCTGAACAGATTGGAAACAGCAACCTCACTGCTATCAGATACAGGGTACATTTAAGTGGAAAGTTTCCAGGGAGAAATGTGACAACAAAAGAGGAAACTTCTCTCCAGTGTGGAAAATGATAAAAAAGTTTACTCAAAGCCACAATAATAAAAGGTGAAATAGCATGTATAGTGCATGTTAGAAATGGTAGCACCAAGTCCAAGGGATAACCAGGTTAGTTAATGAGCCATGTCAAGATAGCAATTAGAGAAAGAAAGAGTCCTTCGGCAAATGGAAGTCTGGCAAATTGAAGAAAACAAAAGGAAGCATAAGCTTGCCACTAGGGAGTGTATGCAGATGATAAGAGAAGTAAAATGTCATTTTAAGAAGCATATTGTTAACAACATCAAGGCCAACAATAACGAATTCTTTAAATCTATCAAAATAAGACACTAGCTAGAAAGGTGGTTGGACCATGGGGTGGTTAGGGAATGAAAGGAGTACTAAAGGAGGCTAAGGAGATTGCAAAGAAGCCGGATTAATTATTTTAATCTGTCACCACAGCAGAGAATAAAGGCTAGAAACCTGTTCCTGAGCTTCTTTATTCAGGAAGGGAATCTGAGGAATTAAGGCAAATAATGGTAAACAAAGATGATATTTTCAACTTTATTGATAAAATGAAAGCTAATAAATCATGGGCCCAGGTGGTATCCATCTGAGAGTTCTAAAGGAACTCAAGTATAAGGTATAATACAATAGCTGACTTCCTTACAAAAACAGGTAACATTTCCCTAAGATAATCCTCTGCACAAGAAGATGAGAGAATAGCCAATGTTAACACCAATTTTTAAAAAGGGATCCTTGTGGCAGAATTCAAGAAAGTACAAGCCGGTCAATTTAACATCTCTTCTGAGAACATTGTTTGAAAGTGCTATTAAGAAAGAATCAGTAAGCATATAGAAACATAAGCCCTGCTGGGGTGGAAAATGATTAACATGGCTTCTGCTAAGCTAAGTCCTATCTTACTAACTTTTCTGAGTTCTTTGAAAATGGCAATACAGATGTGGACATGGGTGACCAATAGACATAGTTTACTTGGACTTTCAAAACACTTTTGAGAAAGCCCCTCACCAAAGATACTTGAGTAAACTCAGTAAATAGTCAAGAAATGAGAAAAGTTACTTAGGGATCAGTAACTGGTTAAAGAACATAGGACAAGAATAAATGGTAAGTTCTAGCAATGGGGAGATGTAAACAGTGGGGTCCCACAGGAATTTATATTAGGACCAGTGATTTTCAAGTTATTCATAAATGAGCTGGAATTAAGAGGGAACACTGAAGTTGCTATAAGCTTTCTAATAACAAACCGTTTAAGGTGGTTAAATAAAAAGGGATGCTGAGGAACTCCAAAAGGACAGTGAGGATGGGCATCAAAATGACAAATGCAGTTCAGCATAAGCAAGTGTAGAATAATGTATGTTGGTGCAAAAAAAAAAAACCCAATGACAAGTAGAAACTGTTGGGATCTGAGTTACCAGTGACTGATCAAGAAAGGGATCTTGGGGTTCTGATGGACAGTTCAGTGAAAATGTCAACCCAGTATACAGCTGCTGTGAAAAAGGAAAACTCTATGTTCAGCATAATTAGGAAAGGACCTGAAACAAACCTGCCAGTGTCATGCTTCCCATATACAAATCTGTGGTGAACTGTACTTAGACTACTGTGCACTGTTCTGATCGCCACACCTAGAAAAGGTATTACAGAGTTGGAAAGGTGCAGAAATAGGCAACAAAAATGGTCAAGGGCCTGGAACAACTTCCCTATGGGGAAAAGGTCATAACGGATTTGTCAGCCTGCAAAAAGCACCTTTCGATCATATTCTCGGCAACTTGTATTCAGGGGCACTCTTCCTCTGATTCTGGAGGCCATCGTGACCCATAATGCTCTACAGCTTATCTTCCATTTATTTATCCAATCCCCCTTAAAAACCATACAATTAATCTCCATCACTGTTTGTTTGTGCCATGTATGTCCCATCTTTCCTTCGAGGCTGTGAGCGTGATTTTCCTCTTCTCCACGTCATCGCTGTAACAGCCCAGAGGTACGCTAGGCTGAGTCTGCGACTGGCCAAAAGTGACCAAGTAGGCAGTAGAACCCAAGTATTCTGAATTCGAGTCCTAACTAGTACACCATCCTGGTCCTCACTACACTGCATCTTGTGAACCCATTAAATAGTACTACTTCTGTTCCTCTGGCAACAATTTCCTGCCATTCAGCTTCACTGTCTGGTACCATTCTTCTGGTGAAGAGAAAGACAAGGGCAGCTGCGGTTCACAACTAGGGAGCCACTTCATGAAGGTTTCACTTTCTCAGCACTACCCATAATTTCATAAACTTCCATCTCCATTATATAGGAGTTTCCTTTTCCAGCAGTTTGTAGAAATTTCCAGACTGCTTTATATATATATATGAGACAGTTGCTGGATGACTTGAGCTGCTCTCTCTGTATATGGATAATATTGCAAAATTATTAGAACAGCACAAACGATTTATCAAATTGCCAGAAACAAGTTGTCGGTTTGTCAAGTGTTCAAGGAAATAACTCTTTAGATAATGATCATCTAATCTAACAGAAGACATATTCAAAAATCCTTTTTGAGATATTCTTAGGGCTTTGTAGATCTTAAAGTAATCCATATAATCTCCTGAAATGGAAAGCGTTTCTTCACAAATAACAGCCAAGATAAAGGGAAATATTTTACTAAGCTGTCCAAACAAATGCTTGTGCAGCTTGTCCAATAATAATGGGAAAAGCAGTCTGGTGTGAATCCAAATTGACTGCCCCCAACTGCTGACCAGGACAGGTATGGGGGTGACACACTAGGCTTTTTAGCCTGGTAGATCTTTACTTTGGGGAAATCTCTCTCTCTTACAGAAGCTCTAGGCTAGTGCAGCAGAGAGACTTGGTTCGGAATCTCTGTGGAGAACACAGGCTTTGCATCCAGTGGGTCCAAAGTTGCCTCCATCACACAACACCCCAGTTGGAGGCTATTACTTTCAGGGTAAATCTATACACACTGGTACCAGGATATTTCACCCAGTCCTCTCTGGCCAGCATATCTTTTTTTAGTTTTTGTAAAAAAAAAAAAAAAAAAGAGGAATTTAAAAAAATAAAATGACGGAAACCGCTTTATTTCCCTTTGCTACTGTAGGATTTCAGTGGTCCTGCTTTATTTGTTGAAATATAGACCAGGAAAAATACTTACAGTTCCTTTAAAGCAATCAAGGATGGCTCCAGCAGGCTGTGCAGTTTGGATGGAGCCTGAGCTCCTCACCTTTCCTTCTTACTTCTCCCCATACACGATTATAGTTGCTCTTCCTCAGTTCTAAACTAAAACTGTGCCTGATTTTCTTTTCACCAG